GGGGGTGAGGGCTCCGGCTGGGGATGCAGGCTCTGGGGTGGGGTCAGGGATGAGGGGTTTGGGGTGCAGGAGGGGGCTCCAGGTTTTGGGGGGGGTCTCAGGGCTGGGGCAGGGGATTGGGGCTCGGGGTTGGGGCGCTGGCTTACCTCGAGCGGCTCCCGGGCAGCAGTGGAGTGGGGCTAAGGCAGGCTGCCGGCCTGTCCTGGCTCCGCGCTGCGCCCTGGAAGAAGCCAGCAGGTCCAGCTCCTGACCTAGGCTGGGGGGCAGGAGTGTCCGTGGCATGCGCTGCGCTCGCCCACAGGCACCGCCCCCCGGTCAATGGGAGTGCGGAGCTGGTGCTCGGGGCGGGGGCAGCTCGCAGAGGAGCCCTGTGGGATCCCCACCTAGGAGCCAGACCTGCTGCTGGCCGCTTCCGGGGCGCAGCGCGGTGCCAGGGCACGTCGGGACTAGCCTGCCTTAGCCCTGCCGCACCGCTAACCGGACCTTTACTAGCCTGGTCGGCGGCGCTGACCGGAGCTACCAGCGTCCCTTTTCGATCAGGTGTCCGGTCGAAACCCGCAGGGCTGGGGTTGGGGTGGAGCCTGTGTATGTAAGGGGGAACTGGGGCCATTTTCGTCCTTTCCCTGCTCTATGGCCCCATCCCGGACGAGGGCACGGCCCCCGCGCGGTGGGCGACTGAGAGATGCCATGGGCAGAGGCATGGCCAGGCGGGACCCCCTTCGGGGCTCCTGGGGATCTCTGTGCCTGGCCTCTCTGCAGGGGGCACCATGGGGGGGGATGGTCTGTGTGCCGTGGCCCCTCTCCCAGACATGGGTCACACATGTCTGGGCTGAATTAGAGCCAGGCCTGGGTGCAACAGGCCCCGTAACCCCTCCCCTACCCGCTGGGCACCTGCTGCTGACGGCTCTGCCCCGAGCAGGCCCCCGAGCACCCCTGTGTGTGTGTCGGGGGGTCTCCGACTCTTGTCAGAGTCAAGCCGTCCCCCTTTCCGTGTGCATGTGGGGGGTCCCTGGCCCCCCTGCTGACCGGGCCTGGCCTTTACTGTCTCCCTGCAGGTTTCTTTGGCCCTACGCTGCCCCCAGACTGGCACCAGGAGAGGAGGGGGCAACAGGAGAGGAACAGCACAGGTGGCGTCTGGGACCAGCCCCAAGACACCAGCCCCTCCCCACCTCGTGCCACGGAGCCCGGTGAGCCGCTGGGCTGACCTGCCTGTCCTGTGGGGCTGGGGCAGCCCCCAAACCAGCTCCTCCTTCTCTGAGTCCCTCCCACTGCCTGCCCCCATCACACAGAGCCTGAGCAGACGCCAGGGCATTCAGAATCCCTGACACACATGAAGGACACCCACCACCCAGCCCTATGCCCCCACCCGCTGCGCAGAATGGGCCTCCTCGCACAGCCCACGATACCTACACGCTGATGTACCCCACCGTGTTACACACCCCAGTGCACCCTGATACATCCCCAATACACGCATACGAATGCACCCCAGCCCCGATACACACCCCAATACTTCCCCAGTGCATGCCTGATACACACCCCAGTGCACCCTGATACATCCCCAATACACGCATACGAATGCACCCCAGCCCCGATACACACCCCAACACTTCCCCAGTGCATGCCTGATACACACCCCAGTGCACCCCAATACACCCTGATATACACCCCAGTGCACCCTGATACACACACACTAATGCACCCACCCCAATACACACCCCAATGTGCACTCCGAGACACACACACTAATGCACCCCCCCAATACACACCCCAGTACACCCCTTATACCCCCAATACACACCTCATTGCACCCCCTGATCCCCCCCAACATATACTCCCCAGACACCCCTCTGATACCCCTAATGCTGCACTGATACACACCCCAGTAAACACACACAGCACACAGACTGGCCAGAGTGATATACCCCCCAATGCATCCCCTGGTACACCCCCCAGCACCCCCCAGTGTGCCCCCGATACCTCAGTGCCCACCCCAGTGCCCTGATACCCCCGGTATACACTTTGCCTGGGGCATGATGCTGAGAGCAAGGGGTGCGAAGGGTTAATGGGAGGGGGCTGAGCAGCGGCTGGGGCAAGTCCCTGAGGTTCCTTGTGGACTCAGCCATGCCTGGCTTTGCACAGAGCTCGGTGCTATCTCCGCATCTCCCTGACCCTGGGGAGGGGAGGTCAGACCTTTGCCCAGGAGCCGGCTCAACAGGTCTGGGGGTGGGGGTGGGGGGCCTGCAGGGGGCTTACCGACCCCGGGGGCGGGGGGGGGTGTTGCACAAGGCCCAGGTGCGGATATTTTTGCCTGCCTCTGTAGCCTGAGTGGGGTTCCCAGCAGTGCAGGGAGGGGCCGGTGGGGCTGGCCTGGGGTGCAGGGAGGATGAGGCATGGGGGGACTGGCTGGGGCGCTGCTCCGGGCTGGGCTGGCACTGGGAACAGGGCGCCCGAACTGTCCCTGCTGGGCAGACGCCTGGTACATCCTGTCCCGGGGGGGGGGGGGCGGTGCCGGGGGCCCGGAGAGAGGAATGCAGCTGGGTCTGCCCCATGCTGTCACCAGGGCCTCTTGCTAAGCCGGCTCCTTGGCCAGTTGCTGGAGATGCTGGTCTGACAAGGCCAGGGAGAGAACCCCGGTGTCCTGGCCAGCTCCCTGCCTGGGGCGGGGGGCGGGGGGGTGTCCCGGGCCACTGCTGAGTGCAGAGGGATCAGCTCACCCCCCTCCCGGCCCCCTGCTGCGTGAAACCCAGCACGTCTCAGAGCGGGGAGGGGCGGGGAGGGATTTGTCAGGGTCAGGCCGCCCTGCCAGCCCCGGGGCGGCTCCTGGCCACACACCCCTCGCTGCCAGCCCTTGGGGAGCTTTCCACAACCGGATCTAGCAGCAGCAGGAAAGTGGCCGGGCCTGGCTGGGCTGGGCTGGCCGGAATCGTTCTGCCTGTGGAGGGTTCTGCAATGAAGTGTGGCCAGAGCACGGAGAATATGGTCCCCTGCTCCCTGTCCCTGTCCTGCTGCCCTCAGCCCCTCCTAACCCTACTGTCCTTCAGCCCTCTGTCCACACTGCACTCCCCCCATCCCCTCTCCTGTTCCCCTGGGGCTCCCCTGCTCTGCCCCCCCCTTTCCGTATTCCCTTCCTCCTCCCCGTTAGCCTGCGGCCGGTGGGGCCCGGACAGTGTCTGGCGATAGCCGTCGGTGGGCTGCTGAGTGCGGTTGGACCCGGAGAAGCTGCGCCCCTGAAGGTCACTCTGCCAGCTCCCTGGAGAGGGCCGGGGCCGCCTGTCACATCCCATGGGGAGATGGAGCGAGAGCTGCCGTCCCCTGCGTGCCCAGGCTGACGGGTGCCAGGCAGCATTAGCCTCCATCCGGCACGCTCCCTTCCAGGTGCAGGCCGGCGGGTGCAGCAGCGCCCCGGGCACAGCGAGCAGAGAAATGCTTGGTGGCAGCCCGTCAGCCCAGGTAAGTGCCGCCTGCGTGGAGGTGACAGATGGATCTGGACAGGGGTGAGGACAGCAGCTCTGCCGGCGACAGGCCCGTCACCTCTGCAGTCACACCGTGTCCCTGGCTCAGCCTCCCGGGAAGGGCAGCGCAGCCGGGCAGAGACGACCTCCCACTGGTCTGGCATGGCGTGGGGAACCGAGCTGCCGCTGCTCCTACCATCATCCCCTGCCTGGCACCGCCAGCCTCTGATTTCCAGCCCCCGCCGTGGCTGCGTGGTCCCCAGTCTCGGGTGGGAGCAGCGAGTGCCTCTTTCCCCGCCGGTATCCCCGCTCCAGTGGGCTCGGCTTGGCCAGCCCTCTGCTAGCCGGCCTGGCCACTGGGAGCGGGTCCAGCGCAGTGCTCGCCGCAGCCCACAGGAGCCCCCAGCCGCGGGAAGGCAGCCTGTGCCCGTGCACCCGTGGGCGATTCGGGATTGCTGCTCATTCCACCTGCCACTCCTGTGCTCTGTGATGTCACAGGCGGCTGCTGGGCAACCCTGGAACCCGGGGCCGGGTTTGGAATCCCGCCGAGGAGTCGCCCAGAGCAGCCGGGGAGAGATGGACGTCGCTGCCAAGCCCCACATCCCCCCTGCCATGGCTCTGTATGCCGAGAAGCACGGTGTCTTCCAGCTGATGCAAAGCATGGTGGAGGCCCTGCTCATCCACCAGCCCGAGGATCCCATCTCCTTCATGATAGACCACCTGAAGCAGGACAGCGACCACGTGCCCAGGGTGTTCGTGCTGGGTCCGCCGGCCGCCGGGAAAACCACCATTGCCATGTGGCTCTGCAAGCACCTCAACGCCTCCTACCTCAGCCAGCAGAAGCTGCTGGCCAACAAGACGCTGGTGCTGGCCAAGGAGGCGCAGAGCTACCAGCAGCGGCAGGAGCAGATCCCCGATGAGCTCTGGGTCGACCTGCTCCAGGACCGCCTCTCAGACGTGGACTGCATCAGGGAGGGCTGGGTCCTGGACGGCTTCCCCCAGACCCGCAAGCAGGCCTTGCTGCTGCAGACCTCCGGCATCGTGCCGCGGCACGTGGTGGCGCTTTACGCGCCAGACACCGTGCTGGTGGAGAGGAACCTAGGCAAACGCCTAGACCCCGTCAGCACGGAGGTGTACCATACCACCTTTGACTGGCCGACCGACCCCACGGTGGAGCAGCGCCTGGTGCAGCCCGACGGCTGCTCGGAGCAGGCCACAGCCAAGCGGTTGCTGGAGTATCACCGCAACATCCAGGGCATCTTCCAGTCCTACCGGGGGAACCTCCGGACCGTCAACGCCGACCAGCCCTGCGCCGACGTCTTCTCCCAGGTGCTGACGTTTGTGGAGAGCCAGCCCCGCTCGGCCGCCCCCTTCACCCCCCGGGTCCTGCTCTGCGGGCCCCCTGGCAGCGGGAAGAGCCTGCAGGCTGCCCTGCTGGCCCAGAAATACGGCCTGGTCAACGTGGGCTGCGGGCAGCTGCTGAAGGAGGCCGTGGCGGAGAAGTCGAAGATCGGGGAGCTCATCAAGCCGTATTTCGAGAGCGGCTGCCCGGTGGCGGATAACCTGGTGCTGAAGGTGCTGCGGGAGCGGTTGGGCAAGCTGGACTGCGCGTCCTTCGGCTGGGTGCTGCACGGCTTCCCGCGCGACGCAGACCAGGCCGAGCTGCTGAGGAACACCGGCTTCGTCCCCAACCGGGTCTTCTTTCTCACCCTGCCGGTGGAGGCCATCCTGGAGCGGGTCTCTCAGCGGGCCACCGACCCCGTCACGGGCGAGCGCTACCACCACCTGTACAAGCCGGCCCCGAGCCTGGAGCTGCGCCGGCGTCTGCGGCAGAACCCCCAGGACGCGGCGGAGAAGCTGGAGCTGCGGGTGGATCTGTACAGCCGGCACGTGGCGGACTTGGAGGAGTTCTACGAGGATGCCGTCTACGTCAACGCCGACCAAGACCCCTACACTGTCTTCGAGTCCATAGAGAGCTGCGTCACTCGGCCCCTGCCCCTCCGCACCGTCTAGCGCCTGCGGGCAGGGAAATATAGAGTTTGCTTTCAGAATGGGATTCGGGGTCATCTTCTTTAACCGGGACAGGTGTTCCGGGGGGGCCGCTGGGCTCCCCCTAGCCCCCACTCCCTGCCCAGCCCCCAGCCCAGCAAAATTACCAGGGTAAAATATGGAATGGCTTCCCGGTGATGTCAATGTGGAGCCAGCCGCGCCCAGCCAGCTCTCCAAGCACTTGGCTTGGGACCCTCTGCCACTCAGTCGATCTTTCCCGGCCTCCTTCCCTCTTCCCCTTCCCCCCGCCCTCGATTTTGACACCCCTGCAAGTTTGCTGATCCCCCTCTCGGCTGCGAGAGCGCGGGGGGGGGTCCCTGTTGCCTTGGGGGTCTCACCCCGGGGAAAGCTGCCCTGTGTTCTCTTACGAGTCTTCTCCCAGCTTGTCTGGTGAGAGCGTCCCAGGCCAGGCTCTGCGGCTCCCTGGGGCACGCGGGGACCCTCCGGAGCTTTGAGAAGCTGGTTGGAGGAATCGCTGCTCATCCCAGGCCAGGCGTGGGGAGGGGCCCTTCCCCTCTGCAGGCGGAGGCGGGGGTCTCAGTAGAGTGAAGCTGTTCCCGCTTGGTGGGGGGAACCCTTTGGAAAGCCTGGCGCTGGTTTGGGTGGGGGCTGCCCACTGTCACAGACTCACAGCTCGTGCCCACTCTTGGCCCCGTATGGTCCATGGGGGGTGCCCCTTTCAGCCCTTCTCGGGGGTCCACTCTCACTCGGGGTCAGGCCCCTCCACCTCCTGGAGCCGCACGTCTGTCTCTGCCGTGGGCCCCCTCAGAGAGTCCCCTCGCTCTGGACCCCCGGGGCCTCCACCCCCGAAGGGGACGATGCCACCCCACCCCCGGCCTGTTCTCTAGACCGGAGTGACTCTCAGCCAGCGTCACACAGGAGGATTTATTGAGAGTTGAACACGGCACAGGAAACTCTCAGGGCCTCAGGCCTGGCCTCCCTCAGCACAGCACATCCCAGTCTCTCTGCATCCAGGTGGGCTCTGCCTGCTCCCCCTCTCCAGCCCAGAGCCCCCCTGCTTCCCAGCTGGGCATCTGAGATCCCCGGCCCCAGGCCCCGTCTCTGTCCATTGTCTTCTCTCCAGGGAAACAGGGTCGCCTGGGCCTCCTCTCCCCTCTTCTGTCCTCTGGGCCCCTCTGGCTGGAAGGGGCTGGTCAGGTCACCGGGGTCCTCTCTTCACAGCCCATTGTCCTCCCACTGGCCAGAACCAGCTGTGACTCCCGAGCTGGACCTCCCGATCACCAGGTCACCCGTCGCTGGGGTGTCCATTCTCCAGGCCATTGGCCGGGGTCCCAAGTTCCCTCGTTGGTCCTGTGTACCAACAAACTCCCTCTCCCATCACCTCATTAAACCAGTAACACCCAGGGACACTGAGTCCCACCCCTTCTGCATGCAACCATTGGAAAAAACAAGGAAAAATCAAGAAACCCCCCCACTTCGTCACACCCACTAAGGGCTCGTTGGGAAGGGTCTTGTCCATGTTGGCCGTTGCCACGCCCAGGGGGCAGCTGGGGTCTCTGCTGACCCCAGCACTTGTGGTTTCGGAGGAGGGGGGTGGTTCTCTACTGGGAAACGTGCTCAGAATTAAAGTCTCGACTTCAAAGACCCCCGAGCAAACCGCAGGGGGCGCCGGCTCCCTGGCGCGCATGTCACGGTGCCAGCCGGAGATGCTCGCGCGCTCGTCCTCGCTGGTTCTCCGCCCCGTCCTGCTCTCCTGGCCCGTGTGGCTCACAGCCTCGTGCTGGCGTTTGACTTGGAGGAGTCGTTCTCCTCGACCACATTACAAAGGGCACGTCTCTGCTGCCCCCCTCAGATGCCCCTGGGGTGCTGGGTGCGGACTGGCTGACGGCTCCCCGAGGCAGGTTTGCGGAAGAGCCTTCGCTCTCCGAGCAGCGGGAACCCCGGCAGGAGAAATGCGGCTCAGCGAGCAGCATGGCAGGACTGGCGGCTTCGGGCGCCCGCGCCAGGGCTGGGCGGAGAAACAGAGGGGCTGGTGACTCCGGGGCCGTCGACTGAGCACACCTGCGCAGAACGCCGCTCGGCCAGTCCAGCCGCGGGCGCGTTCAGGGCAGCGTTCTGCCTCCTTCGGTAACGGAGCCGTTCTCTGGCCCGGCACCCAGTCTGCTGCCACCCTGGCACACACCCAGCGTCCATCCAGCCCTATTGGTGCATATGTAATGGGGGCCTTGCCCCTGGAGCGCCCCCTGGTGGGCAGCGCTGCAATTAAGTCCCTGCCTCAGTTTCCCCTGGTGGGCTTTTAGTAAGCCCTATGGGGCTTATGTATATTGAACAGTGCCCCTTCCGGGCTTCAGCTTATTTAACCAACGGTGGCACATTACCCAAATTGGCCTCCACCCCAGCTGCCTGGCGGGAGGGGGCAGGGGATGAGTTGTGTCCAGGTCCCTCAACAGCCAGGCCCTCTTGCCAATGGGGAGAAGGGTCTCTCACGCCAGCCCTTCCTCAGCTCTGGGGCAGATGCAGGGGGATGGGGCTGCCATGCGGCTGGGGCCAGTGGGGCCCCGGCTGATGATAATACTGAGCCCACCCTGTGCCTCTCGTCCCTACGTCTCAGCGCATTAGGAACAAGGATGGGAGCGTTCTCGTGGACAGAGGGCTGGAGAGGAGCTGGCCAGGCATAGCCCCCCAGAGCCCCGGGCCTGAGCTCTGCCCCCCGGGCCATGGCGCTGGCCGGGCACGGGCAGGACGATCCTGCGAATAGCAGGGCACCCGGCGGCCCGAGGCCAGGCTGTGACTGCACAGGGCCCGGCCCGGGGGCCAGACAGCTGGCTCCGTGGCAAATTCCTCGGCGGTGATGCAAACGGGCGGGCGGATTGAGAGATGCTAGAACTAATCCAGCGAAGAGGGGGTTGCAAAGGCACTTGGTGCTGATCCGAACCTGGCTAAAGCCCCGGATTAGACTCCCGAGGGATAAACAAAGCGGGGTGCAGGGCCGGGCCAGGAGAGCAGGGCTGGGCTGAGCTCGGGGGGCACCTCGGTCAGCCCCAGTGCAGCCCGCCCGGGGGAGCTGCGAGGGGGGGGCTGTGGCGGCGTTGGGGCAATCACTGATTGGCGTCTGTCCCGTCGCTTCCCGCCAGGCCCCATGGAGCCGCCAGGCATTGTGCGAGCCGCTGTGTTTGGAGAAGCCCCTGGCTACGCAAACAGCCCGGGAGGCAGCCCCAGGCCCAGCCCATTGTGCCTCCCAACAATGCCCCTGAGCCCCCCAGCCTCCCCTCCCCCACGGCAGCGCCGGGGCCGGCCAGCGGGTGCCGTGCTTGCTGCAGAGCAGAGACTTTTCTCAGCCCCTGGCACAGGGGGGAGGTCCCTGCGCTTGCCTGGGTGGTCTCCTGGCCGTGCCCAGACCCAGGCTGGCACTGCTTGTCCGCCCTGCCCGGAGCTCCGGCCCTGGTGACTCTCTGGCCTGGAGCTCCTGGGGCAGGTGGCCTCTGCCAGCAGGGAGAAGGGGTCCCCTGGCTCTCCTCGCGGCAGGGATGGGGGGGTGCATAGCAGCGCCCCCTCCTGCTTGGGGAGGGACCCAAGGCGCTGAGCCAGCTCTCACTGCGGAGCCCTGGCGCTTTCTGCGGCCTCGGAGTGAGCATGGGGTTCCCTGGGGTCCCCCCTCCAGCGCCATGTGTCACCCCGTGCATGGCGGGCATCTGTCCTTGGGGTCCCCCCTCCAGCGCCATGTGCCACCCCGTGCATGGCGGGCATCTGTCCCTGGGGTCCCCCCTCCAGCGCCATGTGCCACCCCGTGCATGGCGGGCATCCGTCCTGCTGTCCCTGTGGTCCCCCCTCCAGCGCCATGTGCCACCCTCTGCATGGCGGGCATCTGTCCCTGTGGTCCCCCCTCCAGCGCCATGTGCCACCCCGTGCATGGCGGGCATCTGTCCCTGGGGTCTCCCCTCCAGCCCAGCGGCATGGGGGCTCCACACGGGGGTCTGCCTGAGCTGAGTCAGCACCCCCCCCCGAGGTCACGGGCTCAGCCAGCCGGCTCCCCACAAGCAGCCAGCAGCCGGCACGTTCTGCAGCCCCAGGGCCCCCGGATTAGGGGCTATTGGCTTTCATGTTTTATCTCCAGAACAGCGAGTCCCTGGCTGGCTGCTTTCCAGCCGCAGGCGCAGATAACGCAGGGCTGTGTGCGTGGCCGGGTGTTCTGCTCGGAGGGTGTTTGCACAGCCTGACCCGAGCGCCTGAATACAGCAGTCGCCACGTCCTGATCTGGGGCCTGTTCACTGTGGGGCCTGTCTGGGTTTCAGAGCCCCCCCCTTTGCCCCCCAGAGGGGCACGTAGCCAAGTGTGAAATGCACATGCACAAGGCTGTGTCTGCACATGTGTTCTGTGAGTGGCTAAGTGGGAGCGTGTCCCAGGTGATGGTACATTAGCATGCATGTGTGTATGCACTGGGACACGTGTGCTGCTCTGTGCGTGTGCGCACACTGGGGCGTGTGTGTGTGGAGGGGGTTGCATTCAGGGGCCGGTGCATGCTCTGTGCGTGTGTGTGCGTATGCTCTGCGGCCAGTGCAGTGCATGCTGTGTGTGTGCGCTCTGGGACTGGTGCGTGCTCTGTGTGTGGGTATGCACATGCTCTGGAGCCGGTGTGTGCGTGCTCTGGGGCTGGTGTGTGCTCTGCATGTGTGTGTGTGTGCTCTGTGTATGTGTCTGCGTGCTCTGGGGCCAGTACATGCTCTGTGTGTGTGGGTGGGGGGGGAGGTGTGTGTGTGTGTGCGCGCGCATGCTCTGGGGCTGGTGTGTGCTGTGTGTGTGTGTATGCGCTCTGGGGCTCGTGTGTGTGCGCGCAGGCACTCTGGGTCTGGTGTGGGTGTGTGCGCGCGTACACTCTGGGGCTGGTGTGTGCTCTGTGTGTGTGTGTGCATGCGCTCTGGGGCAGGTGTGGGTGTGTATGGGTGTGCATGCGTGTGCGTTCTGGGGCTGGTGTG